ATAAGAGCTCACTGAATTCAAGGACCACCTATTTCACCTAGATTTGCTGAGGTTCTACTAGGTGCCAAGAAATGTAGTTAGAAACCTTATAACTAAATGTATTTCTTCATAATAAATTTCAGGAAAAAGAGGAACAGACGACCAAAATAAAGAAGATACACTGTCTGGAATCGATCTATGGATATTGGAGTAACTTGGAGGGCTGCTCCATGATAGACACCAGGGTTTTGAAATTCATGAAAGTATCAATATTATCAAGACAATGCTGCATCTTGGATAAGATGGAGATTGCTATTTCAGATTGATGAACTCTAGTTTCTATTTCTTCTCAAATAATCTCCTAAAACATGCACACTGTAACCCATAGGGAGTCTGCCCAACTGTAAGATCTTAAGGTTTCTCTCATGCACTTATTTTTGCTCAATCATTTGGCAAGAAGGAAATGAAATCAACATATAGTACATTCAGCAGCCCTGCAGCTTAAAAACGTTTAATTTGATCTTAATGTAGACCTGATTGTTTAAAAGGTATTTAGAATTATGTATCCTCTAGATAAATTCAGATTTGTAAAGGTTGGAAGCACTCTTTCAGCACTGGTTGCTGATATCTTTTTCGTTTTCTTTTTTTTTTTTTTAATTTGGGAGGTCATTTGGTAAATATGTAATCAGAATACTAAATAATAACTCTGCAATAAAGGCCATCCTTTTAAAGATTCAGATATAAATTTTCCCTGAAGAGAATTAGGGAACCGGTAGTATTCTGCATTTGAAATTCAGATACTTTCCAAATGCATATAAAGGAAGAGAAACATCGTTTCTACCATGTCTAATAAAATAAAGATATTTCACCAAACCTTCATAATCTTGCTTTGTACAAAGTAATCTGATGAAAGACTATGTCTGAGCAGCTTCCAGAAGTGAGCAGTGGGAAACTTATTTCTTCAAAACAAATGAAATTTGCCTAGAAAAAGAAATTCCCTGGGTGAGCAAGGTGATCCCTCACCCATTTATTATCTTGGGACAATACCATGATTTCAGTTCCCTCTGGATGGGTCGATTTCTGATGGTAGAAAATGACTGTTTTGAAGGCCAGACCTCTTTAAGCGTCCCTGATGGATCAGTGTTAATGAAGAGAGTCCGACATGGGACAGGCACTGGGCAAATGCTTCCGCTGAACTGGAACTCCCAGTCCTACGTGTGTACACAGTTTTTATGCTAGGACTCAGGGCCCCATGTCCTGACTGTAGTCTATCACACGTCTATCTGTGTGTTCTTCATGTTGCCACATGGCCTAGGATAGCAAAACAAGTGGCACCTTCTGCTGCAATTCAACTCGCACTGTTTCCAGTCAATTCTTTCCACCATGGAAAGCAAACTGCTCTAACAAGCCTTATTTTCACTGTAGTTCCTCATCTAAATTTACATTTATTGCCCACCTTCTTCACTGTCTCTTTTGCTATGAAATTATTCAAAAATCTTCTTTCCTGTCTTAAGCATTGTTCTTGCAGCAAAGATTGATGCCTGCTGAGTTTGAGTCACGCATGGTGCGGGTGGAGGCAGCCCAGCTAGGGTCTCTCTTACCCTCGGGCATCCTCTCACTTCATAGTTTATCTCTCAGAAACAGAAGTCCTTTCCTTCCCCTAAAGCTCTCGAATTAGGGAAAGAGGTCAGAAATTAAATGCTATCTCATCGCTCTTGTCTAAAAATACAGAAGTTTTCGTTGGTTTGAGAAAGTTGGAAACAGGAACCCATTTTTGCCACCTAAAATTAAACAACAACTAAGTAGGAGTGACAGGGTAGATTTAAATTAGAAAGGCTATATTAAATCAGCCTAAGTTAAAGCCGATTTCACTCCAGGAATTGAAGGCATGAAAAGCTATAATTATGAGATCTTAATATGCTGCTGCCTTTATGCATATTCACTTCGTGAACTTAGACCCCCCAGAAGCCTCCCAGGACTGCTTTCCCATTTTTAATAAGTACTGAGAACGAGGCACTTCCTAGAGGAATTAGAGGAGAGAGAAGCTTATTTTTCTTTTGCATGGGATTTTTCCCCCCTAAGCTTAGTAACAACGTTAAAACTTAAAAGGAAGCCTAGTTTTTGTATGTGCTTTCAGAGTGCTGTGAATAAAATGAAACCCTGGGAAGTTAGCAAAGAAAACATGGTTTAGTATCTAGTGGGACAATGGATCCATCAAGGGGAAAATCTTATCAGTTGCAGCCTGTAAATATCATCCATGTGTCTCTCTGGGGTTCCTGAGAATATTTATCTTGGGGAAAGGAAGCATTTCTGAGACTCTCCAGAAGATTCAGGGATCCAAAGCCTATAGTTGACAGTTGGGTTCATGCTTCTATCAGTGAAGCTCCAAGGTGAGTGACACTGACTTCTGGACACAGGAGAAGCGGGCATTAGCTCAGACCCAAGGAGGACCCATGTGTGCTCTTCCAGCCTCAGAACTCTGGGCGGAGAGATTTCATCATATTCCAGAAAGAAGGCAGTTAAGGCACAACATCAAGACTGATTTTTGTATTCCACTTCTTCCCAGTCCTCAAAAAAAAAGTAATCCTGCACACCCCTCAATTCCATGAAATGTTTAATAAATGAAGGAATTCAAGTAAGTACTGAGAGAAGCTTTGAAATCATTACTTTCTGCACCCTTTGTCTTACTGGGAGAAACCTAGAGAAGTTGTTCCCTGGCCACAGTCACATGGCCTGCTCCTGCAAGCCTGCTCCGTGTGTCTCAGGTACCTCAAAAAGGACAATCAGTGACTCCCACCCATCTTTCCCAATCAGCTCTGCTGCCCCATGGTTCTGAGTCAGCCTGGTTCAGGGCAGAGGATGTATGAAAGGGATGCAGGAGTTGTGCTCTGAGTCTTCTTGCCATCATTTGCATTAAAACAATGGCTGACTTGGGGACAGATACTTCTGCCAAAGGTGGGACAGATTTAATGATCTTTTGCAAAAAACATTTGCTTCCAAGCTACCAGGTGGGACCATTTGTGGGTAAAGCCATTAGTTGAATGTCAAGGTGCTTTTTCTTTTTCCTTTATAATCTGGACTCGTTCCTTTCCCTGCTGTGGATGATGGAATCTAAAATATTTATATGGCTTTATAATGACTATTTAACATTTACAGACACTTGGTATTTGCCAAAGTGCTTGAAAATCAGTGTTTATTAACAGGAAAATAACTGCTAGACAATCTGCCTTGCGACATTTGGAGTGCAAGTGCCTTTGTGGTTACAGGGAGTGTTTCTGGGAGCAGTGCTTGGGGCCAGTGATTCAGAGTGAGATTCATTTATTAAATTTGCTCAAGATCTCCCATTTAGACTTCCCCCTAGTTTACTAAACTTCATTCCAAGAATTCTGAGTGGTAGCATGATTATTTTTATGACTTGTATCTATCTGTCTCCCCAAATCCCTCATAGTCTTAGTGGGACTTTTTCAGAGGTGACTGGACCTAGAGTGCTGATTCCAGGATTGATTGATTCACAGTGCAAAGCTTACATCACAGGCAGTAGTATTAAAGGTGTGAGTGCTGCCTGCCCTGAGGAGCTTGCATAAGATAGAAGGGATAGAAAGAGCTGTAATCAAACCTTGTTGCTTTGCTGCCTTCCACCCACCATGAACTGTTTCTCCTCTGAGATGCCCCTCCATCATGTGCCAACCTCCCTTAGAGCCAGCTGGTTATAAACTGAAACCTTTACAAACTTTAAGCTAAATAAACCTTTCCTCCTTTAACTTTGGATGTTGGGTATTTTGTCTCAGCAATAAGAAAAGTAACTAAGACAATTATTTGCATTCACTCACTCACTGAGGACTTACTAAGTACCGACTAAGTAGTGCTAAAGAAATGAAGAATTAATAAAGTGATACCTAAGTATGAGTTAGATTCTTCTCTTATGATGTCTTGGGCAGTATGAGAAATTAGTGGTTCATAATGTGGCGCAAACTGAGGAAGAGTGGAATCTGATAATGTTTGGAGACATTTTTGGTCATGGCTACTAGAGGAGCTGCCACTGACATCTAAAAGTAGAGGCCAGACACACCGGTAAACATCCTCTGATGTACAGGACACCCTAACACAGCAATGAGTTATCCAACCCCAAAATCAAGAGTGTCCGATGTGGGGCACGGTGGGGGAAACTGTGGTGAATCTCACTCTCTGGGTGTTGGTTGCACTGTGTATCAACCTTCCCTACCTTGAGACCTTTGAGTGGAGGGGCCATTTCTTATTCTTCACTGTAACCCAACACCCAGCACCTATCCAGAACTCCATATACATAGTACTGAGTAAATTAATGAGGATGGGGTAATATCCTCCAAAAATCCCACAATCCCAGGTGTAGAATTCCCAGGTAGAGAAACAGGTAAACAGTTTAGAGATATATGTATCTGGTCTTCATAGTATAATCAGATCAAGGCTATTTTCCATGGATTCATAATTCATAAATCTTCCAAACAGAGGATCAAGGCTATTTTCCATGGACTCATAATTCATAAATCTTCCAAAGTAAAACTGAGAATTTCAAATAATTACCACAGGGCCTACACTCAGCCATCCAGAACAAGTAGAAGCACATGCTCGATCAGTCCTAGTTCCACAGCTCACACACAGCAAGCACATGGCAAGAGGCAAGTGCTGGTGTTAATCAGGTTCATCCACACACACACAAGCAGGCTTGGGACCTGTCATAGGTTTCATGAGAGTTGGAGAAGTTTATATTGCGTGTTATACAGCAGAGGATGAAAGGATGAAACCCCATTCATTGTTTGTAAAAGCATGGGTCGACCTGGTGGACCTTGTGCTAAGTGAAATAAGCCAGGTACAGAAAGACAGATACTGTACTACATGATTTCACTTCTCCATGGAGTCCGAAAAGGTTAGTACCATGGAAGCTGAGAGCAGAATGGGGTCTGACCATGCTGGACTGAGTGGAGTGCAGGGAAGGGAAGAGGCTGCTCAGTGGACACAATGTCAATGAGGAGTAAATTCTACTTACTCTGGCCCTGTGAGTGAATGTAGTCAATATAATGCATTGCATATCTCCAGATATCTGCAAAAGAGGATTTTTAATATATAAATTATATAAGTAAATAATAAAATTTAAGGTAAAGAATATACTAGTTAGCTTGATTCTACAATTCCACAATGTATGCATGAATCAAAACATCACGTTTTTATTACCCTGTACCATTACCATGTGTCAATCTGAAAACCAAAACAAGAATCCTTGTATCTTCAAAAATTAGAAACCAGAAAAGTCCACTGAAGATTAAACAGTATACCTGGAATTCAAAAGTAAATAAATGAACAAAGATGATAAAGCTTTATAGGCGACTTGTTCATTATTGGCAAGTCTCACACCCACTTTGTCCTCTGCCCACATCACCCCGATTTTCCTTGTGTGGTCCTCCTGCTCCCTTCTCTCATCAAGGTGTAGCTGACTCTCCCACCAATAACCCTACTCTGTCACCATGGGGCCTGCCCTGCTTAGAAACTAGAAATAACAATAACCTTTCCCGAATGCTATTCTCATGGCTCCATGCAGTATATGGGTTTCTGTAATGCCGCGTAAGGCTGAGGCTAACTTTGTCTGGGCTTAGGAGGAAAAACTTTCCAGAGGAAGTAATGTCCAGACAGCCTACCTTCAGCCACTCAACGGAATTCAATCCTCAAGCCTTAGCATCATGGAAGAGTCCACACCTGATATTTCCAGGAAGCTGACCTCATCAGGGGTCAGGGGCAAAGGCCTTATGTAGAAACTTGCCAGAGAAGAATGTGGATTGACTTCTCGCTGCCCAAGCTTTGGAAAAACACCATACAGAAGCTTCAGTGTCACTTATTATCTGCCCTTTACAATAAGCTCTATTCCAAGAAAAAACAATCATTTATAGTCTTTGTAAAAATAAATACTTGTTTCTTTATGATCCAAAGTATCTGATTTGTTATAAACAAATAAATTTTTATTTTGTAGTCCCTTCTGACACTGCTAACTGCAAAGATGTCACCAGTGCAGGCACCATCTCTTCCCAGATTAGATTTAAGAGCATCCTCCTATACCTAAGGTCAGCAGCGCCCACCAGCTCTCCAGATTTCGGAACATTATAGATGAGTTCAGTATCGAGGGACCCTTTCAGAATAAAATTTTACTGGTATTTCATACATCCCATTCTAGTTGGCATTCTGCAAGTACAGGAAACAAATACCAGATGGTAATTTGTATAAGGAGAAGGAGATTGGTGCTAATTTTAGAAAGTTCTTGGCCACTTCTCCCACCCAGAGTTAGGAAGGGAATTCTCAGTTGAAATAAATTTCCAAGTTTCAAGAAGCAGCTGTCTGATTTTTTAAAAACAGTGCCATCCTTTCTACTTAACACTACGCCAAGCTAGTGTTCCACGGGCTATGTTCTCACATCTTCTTCCCATCCCTAGTAAGTGTTCTGAGCAGAACAAAAGAGGCCTGAGAACCTTATGACCCTCGATGTCCCGTTTCCAGGTTGCCTCTGTCCCCCAGTGCCATCATTTTTAGCACATCAGACTAGCTGAGACAGGATTTAATCCCCGGGTCAGCAGTAAAAATGCAGGCTGGTCCACTGTGTGTAAGACAGATGGCTGTGTAAACATGGCCCTCACACTCATTCGGAAGGTAAACTGTGAACCGGGGTAGCAGCAGGTGGCTGGGCAAATGCTGTCTGCATGTTTACATTTGGATTTTAAACACTGAGATATTCCTAATTGGAGTCAACAAACAAGTGAATTGGTAAGTCATTATATGCAAAACAGTGCCCTATGTGCTGAGATATGGAGAAAACCCTGACTTTAAGGAAGCTGGGTCACTCTCTCAAGGGCCATTTAGAGAGGAAAGCAAATGGCTGTAGAAGAAAGAACAAGGGATTGAACTGATTCTGGCCAGAGAAATTTGGACATTCATGGAGGTGGATCACACATAAGAATAAGTGTTGGCTTCTATGGACAAACATAATGGCAAGCGTGGTCTATGGGTAGAACTAAACTCGAGGAAGAGACCAGAATTAGAGAGTAGAAGGGAGTGTGTGGCAGTGTATCTGAGCATGGTGCAGGTGTGAGGGAGGGTACGCGCATGTTGGTGGGAGTGTATTTCAAGGTGGAGGAAGGCGAAATGGGGCTAATGTGGACACAGATACCTATTTCATAAAGGATCTCTGACTCCTCCTCAAAAAAAAATCATAAGACAGGATGAATTCAAAGCACTTATCTATGCTGTGGTTACTTTTAAGAGAAATGTATGGCAAACCCTTAATTTTAAAAGCTATATTAGCAATTAAGTATGCTGATACTGAGGCAGATATATGACCAATTTGGAGGCAATTGCTGGGATCTGATTACATCAGCTCTTTCTTGAGTGCTTACTACACACCAGGCACAAAACTGCTTCGGGCTCCCAGAAATCCTATGAGCTCTGTGTTTTAATTCCCGTTTCAACTGAGGTCCAATGTAGCTGGGAACGGCTGAAACAGAAGTGCAGCCCATCTGCCCAATCTGGGCTAATCGCTTACTCCGCCTGAAACGAAGGCAAGAAGGAAGTCAGGACGAAGAGCTTAAGAAGACTACTGGCATTTTAGTACGGAGTGTGAGGCTTTGTCCTCTGCCAAGCTGATACATGCAGATGAAGGAGTAGGTGTAGAGAGAGACACACAGCTATTTTCAGACAAGTGGAATTGGAAGAGCGCAGGACACCCAAGTGTGGATAGTAGCAGAGTCGCGGTGTGGATCTGAAATTCAGATGAGGTCATGAGAGTGGATGAGAATGTGCGAAGAGGAAGCCTGAGAGGCGGGGAGAAGCCGGAGCTTCAGGCGTCCTGCACCGAGGGAAAAACAGGAAAGGGGTCCGCAAAGAGAACTTGGGGAACTTGTGGAAACCCTAAGAGATTTTGAAATGAATAAATAAAAGGTTTCCCTTAATTCTTCCTATCCAAAGAGAAGACCTAGAAATATAGTGGTATTTCTTCCTGTGTGTATAATTTGGAAAAAGTACAAAGAAGCTGGAGCTGAATTTCTTTTTTTTTTAATTGTATTTAAAGAAAGACTAAACAAAACAGAAAATAAGTAGAAATAATACATATGTTCAGAGAAAAAAATTAAACACTAAGAAATTACTAGTTGATGTTTACATATTGTCGTTTTACAAATAGTTGTTCAAGATTCAAAAGTGGAACATGTAAAGTGGAAATTCAAACAGTGAGACTGCAAACAGTTCTGTTCAACTATCCATCAAAAACTTAGAAATATGGTCATCAATCCTATATACTTAAATATATATGCAGTTATCCATATCTTCAATTATGTTGAGATTGAGCAAACCCAAGCAGGCTAATATCACTCTGAACAAAGAATAATACTATTGCTGGGTTTCACATTATGACACTCCAGAATCAGCACTGGGTACTTTAGTGTCTGTTTTTCTTCAAAGTATCTGTTCATTTCATCATGTGTCATAAGATCAGTTGTCATATACTGTTTATAGATTCTACATATGCATGAGTCTTAACATGTATTTCTGTCTTTTCTGTATTAGAGGGAGAAATAAAGCAAGACAGAACAAAACATATTCCTATAAACACATGAAACAAAAAAAACATATAAGACCATTGTACAAAGAGTTCTACCATGGTTCCTGTGTTGTCTCTTGTTATCTTCAATAGAATTGGCTGTATCATCAGACATACTATAATTGAATATAGCAGTACATAACAGTATTAATAAAAACACAACTTTGTATATAGTATAGAACTTCAAAAGCAGGCAGTTATCAAACCAGAATGTGTATTGTAGTAAGTCTTGTCATCTTCAGTGTAGTTGTCTATACTCTCAGACTTGATACTATTAATCATATCAGTTTTGAATAAAATCTGTCAATACCAAACAGCAATCAAACAAACCAGATTTAACTAAGATTAGTCATGATAAAACAGTATAAGTCATACAGGGCTGCTGGAGCTGAATTTCAATGGCGTAACTCTCTAAGACCTTCTGCAGCTGCACACCTAGCTCTTGGGAGCTGAGCAAAGCAGATACACCATGCCCACATACTCAGCTGGTGGGGTTTGCAAAGGCAAAGTATAACAGTTTAAGTATCTAAGGCAAATAAATTCAGACTTTCATTTTTCTAGGTCCATGATGCCCTTGCTCCTTCCTCTAAGTCCTCTTGCCTGCTCTCCTCTCTGTCCCGAAGGCTCTGCCCAGATACTGCCATGGGGAGGAGTCTCCATATCTTCAGGCCTTTATTCTAAATCTCCTTCTTAACAAGATTTCCCTGGCCACCCCTCTTAGATTTTCAGCACCCACATCCTCAACATAGTCCACGTAGCATCCTTCTTGCTGCATGTTCTCTCCAGACATTTACCAGTATCCAAAACAACAAATGCACCAATTCTTGATTCTAATCATTATCCATCTTTGCCACAAAAAATCCTTTCTAGGAAATCAGGAATATTTTTTGTTTATTTAAAAAAGCAAAACCGATTAAAAAAAGATGGAAATAATACAGAATTTCAAAAGTAGTGAGAAATTAAGACTAATGTATTACATATTGTTATCTCACAAGCAGTTGTTCAGGTTACGAGATATAGATATTAAAAATGATCCAACAATTGCCGGCTGTAGTGGCTCATATCTATAATCCCAGCACTCCAGAAGCTGAGGCAAGAGGATCATTGAGAATTCGAAACCAGCCTAGGCTACAAAGTGAGCTCAAGGCCAGCCTGAACTACACAGTGAGACTGTGTCTCAAAAAAGACAAAAAAAAAAAAAAAAGATCCAATAATCAATGACAACACAAATTGTTCTTTTTTATGAACTAATAGAGATTGGTAGTATAGTTATCTACTTTGCGTACATATATATGCATACAGTTATATGTGTACACCTACGTATTATAATCTTTTCCTTTCTTCCTTTTCACCTTTGCCCTATCTCAGTTGTTCTTTCTTTTTGAGCACTTTCTTTCCCTTTCATTATTGCAATTTTTATTGTACATTTTGGATTTTATGACTTTCAGTTTTTTATTATTATTTTTACACTAGGGAGACAACATGACATTTATAAATGTGAGTTTGATTTATTTCACTTGCAAGTATAGTTTCAAATTGCTTCCATTTGCTTATAAATAGCCTCAGATTATCCTTTTTACAGCTGAGTAATATTCCATTATATTAAAATATCACATCTTTTTTATCCATTCTGTAGTTGATGTACATTTTGGTTATTTCCAAGATTTAGCTATTACAAATTGTGCTGCTATAAGCACAAATATCCCTGTGGTATGACATTTTCAATTTTTCTGGGAAAATGCCCAAAAGCAGAATAGCTGGATTGAATGAGATTTCCAATCATAGTTTTTTGAGCAATCTCCATGCTGATTTCCACAGTGGCCAACACCAGTTTACATTCCCACCAACGGTAGAGAATTCTTTTTTCCCCACAGCCCCACCATAATTTGTTATTGTTTGATTTATTGAATTGCAGCCATTCTTTCTAGAGTGAGATGAAATCTCAATGCTGTTTTAATTTGCATTTCTCAAATGACCAGTGATGGTGGACATTTCTTTATGTATTTATTTGCCATTTGTATACTGCATCTGAGAAGTGCATGTTCATCTCAGATGCCCATTTTGGGAGTGGGTCTTTCAATTTGGGAGGCCTGATGTCTTTCAATTCTTTATATGTTCTAGATATAAGTCCTTTGTCTAAAGGATGACTGGCTAAAGTTTTTCCATTCTGTGAGTTTTCTTTTCACTTTGCTGGCGATTTCTTTTGAAGTATGAAAACATTTTAATAAGATGAGATCCCAGTTATTGTTCTTTGAAGTACTTCCCATGCAGTTTGTGTTTTGTTCATGAGCTCTCTGTCTACCTGTATATCTTCAAGATTTCTGCCTACCTTACCTTCCAGTATATAGTTAGTGTTTCTGTTTTAATATTTAGATCTTTGATCTATTTGACTGCGGTTTAGTACATGGTGATAGATATGGGTCTAGTTTTAGTCTTCGGCATATGGAAAGTCAGTTTTTCCAGCAGCATTTATTAAAAAGACTATCTTTCTTCCAGTGAACATGTTTAGCCCCTTTGTCAAATATAAGGTGACTAGGTGCATTTGTGGGTGTTTTTGCATCTTCTATTCTGTTCCATTGACTTTGGGAGTGGGTCTCTCTCTTTTTTTTTTTGGCCAGTACCATGCTAATTTTATCACTATAGCTTTGTAGTATAATTTCAAGCTAGGGATTGTGAGTTGCTTGATTTTGTTGTCCAGGATTGGCTTTGCTATTCTAGGTTTCTTCTGTTTCCAAATGAATTTTAGGAATGTTTTCTCTTGATCTGTAAGGTATGTTAATGGCATTTTGTTCAGGATTGCACTAAATCTGTATAATAGTTTTGGGATTATGGCCATTTTCACAATGTTGGTTCTTCCTAATCAAAAGCAAGGGATATTTTTCCAACTTCTGATATCCTATGCAATCTCTTTTTTTTTAATACTATAGTTTTCAACATATGCTTTTTACATTGTTTGTTAGGTTAATTCCTAAGTATTTCATTTTTTTTGGATGCTATTGTGAAAGACATGATTTCCATAATTTCTCTCTCAATGAGTTTGTGTACAGGAATGCTACTGAGTTTTGAGTGCTGAGTTCATATCCAGCTACATTGCTGAATTTGCTTATTAACTCTTAGTAGTCTTTTGATGGAGTTTTTGGGGTCTTCTATGTAGAGTATAATGTCATCTGCAAATAGTGATAATATAACTTCTTCCTTTCCTATCTTTACTTCTTTTATTTCTCTCTTATCTAATTGCTCTGGCTAAAGTATCCAGAACTATATTGAATAGAAACGGTGATAGCGGACATCCTTGTCTTGTTCCTGATTTTAGAATGAAAGCTTTCAGTTTTTTTCCACTTAGTATAATGCTGGCTGTTGGTTTGTCACAGATGACTTTTACCATATTGAGGTAGACACCATTTATTCCAAGTTTCTGTAGGGTTTTTATCATGAGCAAGCATTGGACTTTATCAAAAGCTTTTTCTGCGTCTTTTGAGATGATCATGTGATTTTTTCTTTAGCTCTGTTGATGTGGTGTACATTTATTGATTAGTATATTTTTGTCTGCTTTTGCACACTCCTACATCTCTGATGTTTAAAACACACTTGATACTTGATGGAAAATGAATAATCAAAGATACAATGATTGCTTTCTTCAGAAATATTTATTGTCCTAAATTATCTGGTTTACTTTCCTAGCTCTCATTTAAAGTGCCTAGGTAATTTCAAATTGTTTTGGAAGTTGATTATGCACATATAACTAGAAAAAAGGAAAAATTTCCAAAATTTCTATTGTCTATCATTTTAAGGAAGACTATACTGAGGTGTTTCTTCTTAGTTTGAGTTTCAAGCACTGGGAGAAATGATTGTTCCATTTTTAAAAGTATTAAAAATGAATTATGAATTTTCATTTGAAAGGTCTGCTTCCTCATGCTTATAAATAGCTATTATTTGACCCAAAAGAGCTAGAACCTCTCCAATGGCTATGGTAAAATTAATCCTTACAGCCATTTCCTATTGAAAAAAACAAAAAAGTTGATGGACATTAGAAAGGGAAAGCTATCTCATTACCTTTTAATGAACAAAGTTCATCAAAGCCTTTTTAGAACAAAACCTGCAGTTTTGAGACAGCCCCACTTGCCTTGCAAAAAAATATTTGTACACTGACAAAATACAGGCAATTTAACAAACACAATAGTACCTGTGAGAATGACCAATGTCTTTGTCAAAATGCATAGAATTAAGTGCACTGGGGCAACTAAGAAATGCAGTTCACAAGATATTTTAATAATGGTCTTTGCTAGTAGTTACAAAACTCCAGAGTCGGGCAGGGCTTATGGGGTGAACCGACTGTGTAAGTTTCAGAACCCGGTGATCAGAAACATTAACCAAAGCCAGGCAACACAAGGTCTCCTACACGTCTTCCTTCCAGAAAAAGTTTACTTCTGCCACCAGTGATCTGCCTTGGAATTCAATTTTGATAAGTAAGTCTAGTTAAAACACTTCTCCCTGTCCTTAGTATACCTATTAATAACAATATGACCATTAACATTTACTGAGTACTTATGGTATGTCTGGCATGTGATAAATATCTCATGTTACTTCTCAATCTTCACAACTGTTTCAGGGAATAGATTTATACCTTTTTAGACAAAAGGTAAACTGAGGCTGAAAAGGTGTGCCATCTTATTTTGGCTAAAGTCAAGTCAATATAAAGAAACCAAAAATGACTTCAGAATTATAGCAGCTCACCTCCAGTAAAAGACTCCACTAATCTCTATTCCAAGCTGACATTTCATCAGCTGCTTCCAGGGAGCACAAGGTGAAGAACCGTTACTTCAAAACCTTTGGGAAGACAAAAGGAGGTGTGAGTTGTTGGTAAAATAGAACCAGAGAGTGGCCATTCTGTACCAGTACCATAGTGGACTGCATTGCTTGTACATTCCATACGTGATTACACAAAGACATGTACCTATAAAAATGCAAAAATATTAACAGAGCATGGAAGAAAAAGAAACCAAATTTTCTGTAACTCACAGGATCATGAAGTACATGCTCCTCTCAGCTTCCTTGGGATTCCCAGCTGAGCACATTTCCCTGAAATAATTCCAGGGTTCAGAGACCTGTCTCTCAGGGGAGTCTTAAGCAAAAGCCATCAGTGTCTTGCATACACAAGGCAAGGACCCCTACCATAGAAAGATATATTAAAGGTCATTTTGAGTCTTGACTTTCATATTACAAAATGATATTAGAACCCATGTTCTCTCCTCGTGTGTAAATGCTCTCCCCACTTCTGGCACATGCTAAAGGGCCTTTGGCACTGCAAGTATGGGCCTCATTTCACTTAAGGTAAGCACCGTGACTCTAAACGGGTGCTGTAATTTGAACTTCACGGTCTCTATGTGCACACCAGTTCCCCAGAGCTTTCCCACTGGTTTGATACTGCAGGTCATTGTGCATAAACTGGTGACAGTGATTCCGAAATCTGGGATGGAGCTGTTGCACACTTACTTCCAAACCAAGGGCTCTGAAAAACACTTTCCCTTTGGTGTCATTTTAGTAACCGTGAAAAACACTTCAAAATGGAATAGTATGAACAGCACTTAACAGGGTAGCTCTGCAAACTACAGAAGATTATTACATCTCCAGCTAAGTTTTACAAATTTGTATGGAATCAGGGTCCTCTTTCTGACTAAGAGTATTTTATGCCTTCATTTTTTTAGTAGCTAATTTCTTCCTCTCATCAATAGGACTTAATATAGCATATTATGAGATCTCATTATAACAGATTTTAATAAATTATAGGTCAAGCAATGGTCTCAGAGCGTAACTACTCATGACAAGGTTCTAATAATGTGCAGTTTGGGAAACTACATATTATTGGACTTTTGTCTGATAATGTTAGGTCTAATCCCCAGATATTCAGTTTCACAGGTTTCATTAGCAGAACATTAGAGAAAAGGAAAAAATAGCATGTTTTTCTTTTCTATTTTTATAAAAGATTTTACTCTATCTGCTCATATTGATTAAATACAACATTTCAATAAGTAGTGCAGGAATTATAAAAATATGTGGATCACAGCTCCAGTAAGGCATAATCTTAGATCTTTCATTATTATGGAGCAGGACTCTGGAATCAGACTATATTCATGAAGTTTACTTCTCGGGGTTATTTTGACTCCGGCAAGAGCCTGGAGTGGTGAGTAAAGTGGATGAGGACATGTCACAATGTTTTTATTGGACAAAAGTCACAACAAACACTTCACATTGATTCAGGACAGCAAGGCAGCCAGAAAAAGATGTGGATAAAAGATGACTTTCAGAACCCCCCAAAAAGTGACAAGAATGAGGGAATAAGTGTGTTTGAAGTGAGGAGGGTATCATGTGGGGAATTATTTTTTGCTGTAATAAAATTTTTATTCCTATTTGAACATTCATTCTATTTTTTTTTTACCACATGCATCCTGGTGCTACCATAGTGTACAGTGATCCTGAACCACTTACTTAACCTCTCTATGCCTCTGCGTCTTCCTGTTAATTTACAATAATAGTAGCACCTACCCTATCAGTGAGAACTGAATGAAGTTAGCTGTTAATAAATGGTACAAGAGAAGAAGCGGGAATGATTATCCAGAAATCAAAGAGCCAAAGTGAGACCTATGTACATGAAGATGAGACAGAATGGTAATGCGTGCAGAGTGGCACAGGGAAAGGTTTTGACAGCAGAGCCAAGGGCAGCAGTGGATGCTAGAGCCTAGGAGGTTCTTCATAGGCTAAGACTCACTTCTCAAACTATGTGCGTGGACCAAGAGTACAGGGGCCACCCGGACGCCTGTTAGAAACTTAGAAATGTACCCTGAGACTTAACTCCACATTCACCAAGTCAGAACCTGTTTGAGACAAGATGCCTAGAAGCACAGTGGTACTTGAAGTTGAGCACCCCTCCCCAGGACAGAGGTTGCTTCTTAAAACATTCAGGCTTTGGCCATCATGTCCTGTCACGCAGTTCACACTTAGCAAATAGTAACACTGGAGGAAGAAGGGAGCCATGCTCCCAAGCTTCCCACTAGGAGAAAAGCTATGAAACTCTAACAGTTAAACCTTAGAAATACAAGAGAACCAGCAAAAATAAGTAGAATCACCTAAACAAAACATGATGTGTAAGTTGTGATTCAGTTAATATTTGTGTCAAGGCAAAGTGGAAAACACAAATATTTGTTTCATTCAAGTTAAAATGGAATCTGATAAGCCATGAACACTTGCTGGGAAGGTTTGAGCAAAACCCCTGATATTCTCACCCCCAGGAGCACAGCGTCACTGTAGTGACAGAGTTGTCTGTGTCTATCTCTACACACACACACCAAACCCCATTACCACAACGTACAGTGGGTTACACTACGGGCACACCACACAGAGTGGAGAAACAGATACACACACCCAGCTTCATCCACGCCTTCCCCTTTTCTCCAAGTCTGCCTACCATCTGTCCCTAGGTATCTGCTTAAACCCCACCTGCAAGAGACACAGAATCTTTGGGAACAAACCTATAGGAAGCAAGCGACAAGAACAGAAGGGGAGACCTGATGGTGGAAATAATAATAATACCCATCAGCTTTCAAATGCAGCATGGTGCATGGTGTTTTCCCCACAACATTATGCAATCCTTTTTAATTCTTGCAATAACCCTCTAAGACAAGCTGTGAATTCTCTACTCTTCCACTGAGGAAATAAAAGCCAAGTATGAGGTCAAATAAACTGCCAAAGGTTGTGCAGCTAAGCAGGAACCTAGCTAAGACTCAAGCTCAAGCCTGTTTTCTGCCTCTCTTCCAACAGAGAAAGCCTCTAGGAAGCCAGTAGTCATCTTGCTGAGGAATAGCTCCTAATTTGTAATTCAGATACAATATTTTCCCTCACTTTCATTTCTCATGATGAGTGGGGAAGTGGCGAAGGAATATTTTGCAGTCAGACTGAATTTAAACTGTGGATGGTAAAGCACAGGATAATTTCCTCCTTGGTATTTTAGAAGTTCTTTATTTTAACCATCTGTTGCAGCCTGACAGATGGGGTGATAGATGACAGAATAATGGGTCTTCAAATCCAGGAAGGCATAAGGAAGGCTTGAAAAATAGCAGCTCTTTTCGTGAACCTGTATGCTAATGCCACTTGCTCATTTGAAAAAAATAAAAAAAGTTAGTGGGAGGCAAGTGTGAGATATACTCATAACCACCCCCCAAACAGAAGACTCCTCACAACTGCCAAAGGTCAAACAGAGTAGAACATGCCTATTCTAAGATCATGGCAAATTTTCCAAATCTAGTGGCTTAAAATGTAGGGCAGATTATATATAGACATATATTTAAACTTTTCATTCTTATATCCCAGCATTAAATTCTTTTTACAGCAGGAGTTCTGAGTTTCTTGTATCACTGAGATAATTTAGAAAAAGTGCAGATTTTTGAGGCCTGAGTGTTTCTGCCAAATGTTAAGTCTTGTTCCTTTTTCTTATATTCAGTGGATACAGAGGAGACATTACTAACCGTAGACATTTGGCTGGGCACTAGGGACCCGAGAGGTTAAGACAGCCTTTCCAGAACAGAACAGTGTGATCCAAACATTCATTCATCACACTAATGACTCACCTTCCCGGACAGAACATTCCAGGGGTCCAATGTGTTTACTCAGTTACCCCAAGTTCTTGTGCAATCATATATTGCAACATGATAAAATATTCTCACAAACCCCCCGCCCCCTGCCACTTGCACACAAAGATGTCTACAAAGAACAACACTGTCATAGTTTATGTCTGTGTCCCCCAGGCCTCATGAGTTTGAATTGTGTGTTTGTTATTCGTTCATTGTCTAGTGCTTGGATTGATGGTGTCAGTGCTCCACCCACAAAGGGGTGGAGCCAGGATGTGATGTAATGGCAGGAAGAAGGTGTGTCTTGCTGTTTGCCAGTTCCTGTTTGCTGTTTGCAGCCGCCATGAAAGGCAGTCCAGCCATGCCCGCCTGTCGTGGAGCCAACTGAGTGTGGACTGAAACCTCCAAAAACTGTAAGAAATAAACCTTTCCTTTCCCAACTTTGGGCTTCAGGTATTTTGTCTCAGCGATGAGTAAAAAGTAACTAAGACAAACACTTTAAACTGAGTTTACACAGTTTGGCCACATTTATTTAATCTCAACATAGTGATTTTATTTTCAAAAGAATGTCAGGGTATAGATTAAAAAAAAAAAACATCATTTCAGGTGAATTTAAGTCAAATATCACTGACGATGACCAGATTGAGATGTCATCACCATCACAGCCACTTATTCAGCAATTAAAATATTCTAGTCCCCATGTTCAGTGTTGCCATTTAATTACAATCCTCCCAGCAATGCTATGAGGGATGCACACCTAATCCATGTTACAGATGTGACCACCGAGACCCAGAGAAATTCAGACGCATGGACAAGTTGGCTTTATGCATGTGGAAATGTCCCCTAGGACGCCTGACACTGTGGAATGATCTCAGCAACTCCTCCGCACTCTAATATCACATAATTCTGGGCACAGAAGATGTGCGGTTTTTCCCTCTGTCTCTGGCAAGGGTGATGATTAAACACACAGAGCAGAGCTTGAAGAAAACCTTACCTGGCTGAGAAGATGACATCCCTGAGGACCTGGGGGGGGGGCACTTCTGTCATGGTTTTGGTCTGTGGGCCCCCAGGCCTCATGCATTTGCATTGTGCATTTGTGATTGGTTCATTGTCTAGTGCTTGGATTGTTGGTGTCGGTGCTACACCCACATAGGGGTGGAGCCAGGATGTGATGTAATGGCAGGAAGAAGGTATGTCTTACTCTCT